AGGAAAAAAGAAAAAAAAGGGCAGAGGAGGATGGCGGGGGGAAGGTATGGGAAGAGCACATTGACGAGCGTTGATGGTTGAAGCAACCGTTGAAGCTGTGCGCATGTATGAAGTACGCAGCTGCTTCAACAATGCCCCAACAGTTGTCCGTAGCCACCCAGCTCGGATCCAGGAGTTTCATGATGTGGTGTTTTCAAAGACAGCCTGCAGCAACTCACCTCCCAGAATGTTCAAAAAGTCCATGTCAGAACTGGCATCTTGCGCTGTTTCCTTCTTGACTGTGTTGTCCTCCAGCGAGTCAAAGTTGGGCAGATTGAGATCGCCGAACTTGTCGAAATCGAAGAATTCGGTATTGGTGAAGAGCGACAGTTCATCCTCGAGGTTGTATGAATCTTGATGTTGCTGCTGAAGGGCCTGATCGTATGGCGAAGGAATGGCATTCAAATCATCGAGATATTGGGAGAAGTTGGGGGCCCGACGGCCGTTGAATCCGGACATGATGTGTTTTTGAGGCTTTACGGGCCTCTTTTCCTGAGATCCGGCGATGAGAGTGTTGAAAATTGTAGTCAAGTTTCGTAGTTTCTATATCGAAATCCCTCTCCACCGGGACACTTGGTCGTTCGATTAACACCAAGTATTCAAAAATCGTCCACGGTAACCCGTGCAGTGTATTCGTAGTGGGCGAACCAATCGATGGGGTCGCAATGCAGGCGATATGGGGTGTCGGCGGGATTTGAAGACAAGACAGGAGAAGACAAAAGGCGTGGGAAGAGTCGAGGAGAGAAGAGGGTCGAGTCAAGTTTGGAGTGTGGGACAGCCGGAGACGAAAAAGAGTGGGAATTTGCGGCGGGGCGGGGGAATTGGAGGGAAGCCGCTGATTATTAAGTTATCGGGGGAGAAAATGCGGCACAATGGCGCCCTTTGAATAATCCCGGTGACTAACCGTCCCATTCATTCATTCCTGCTCTGCTCCGATCGCTACTGCATCATCTTGCGATCATTCACTTCAACAAGTATTTCTTTCCAGATTATTTCTAGATCTAATCTCCCCATCCGCTGGGCCCCGGAATCTGGATATCCTACAGAGTTACCCCTTCTTCCCTTGAGGCACACAGTACCTGCGCTGGTTTACTCGGGAGCCGCGTGTTGCCACCGCACAATCACTTACTCACCACTACAGTAAATGCTTTTCCGCTGATGACATCGAAGCCGAGTCATCCTCTTTCCGGTGGCCGAAGTCGGGCTTGCGGAACCAGAGAATCCCACTGCCGCCGTCCTCGCCCGGCTTGGTTTTAGGGTCCAAACCGGTTGAACTTAGGCACGACCGTGGCCACTCTCATGAAGTCAGATTGAACAAATTCCTCGCACTGGCTTATGGTCTACCAGACTTGCCTGACCGGGTGTCCGCTATGGATGCCCTGGTTGGCTCGAGGCCGATGGCTTGGCGACCTTAGTATTGTTTAGTATTATTGTTCTACTTCGGATTTTGCGCGGTTCGCGAGGAATTAATCTCCCTGCTTATAAACCACATCTCGTGTACCTGCTCGATCCAGTTAGCCAAGGGCCGACTACAAAAAGGGTAAAATTATCCGCGAGCACAACCTCGCAACCTCCCCATTAATAATCGGGATCTGCATCGTTATCGTATGAGGCTATCCACAACCTCTCTTCTATCATCCTTGCAGATATGGTATGTTCATGCATCACACGATAGTCAACGAGTAACCAATATAACCCTGTAATCACGCTATTTCCGGCATCTATAGCGCTATTCAAACATCAAATCACTGAAAAGAGGAGTAGTGAGATGATCGACTTGGAATGCGGGAGCCCCTGCGCTGCCAACCGCACTAAGATAAGACCACTCTTGTGATCCTATCTGCACGTGATGCTGTTTGTTGATGCCCCAGGAACCACACCGCAATCCCGGAGCTTCGCGCCGCATTCATCCAATATATCCAATCCCCAACTCAGTAAAGTAACCACTCAGCCCTGCCAAGCTGACGAGTCGTTACTCTACGGACCTACTTAATAGGTCTTCCATCAACACCCACACGCAATGGCCCGCCTAAAGTCCGTCCGCGCGCCCACAACCGCCAGTTTACCCAGCAATCTCCGCATCCCCTCCTCCACGCCGTCCTTAGTCAAAGCTTTTGGCAAGCTCACCCGGCAGGCACTGCTGGATCTTGCGTTTCAATGGCTCGACGATCGCAACCTGCAGGCTTTCCCACCATATCTCCAAAAAGATGAAGACCGAAAAGAGGAGGAGGACGAGGGACTAAGTCCCTACCCGGCGGAGCGCACCGTCAACGACGTCCGAAACGCATACCAGGAACTGCAGCTGCGCAAAGGCGGCAAACGCGAAGTAATTGATCGCATCCTCGAAGGCGACTGGAGGCATGGCATTACCCTGCGACAACTAGCCATGGTCGACCTTCGCTACATCGACGACCACTCCTCCAGCCTCCGATGGACCGCACTGGAACTCTCCCGCATTGAAAGCCAACAACAACAACAGCAACAACAACAATCAGATTCCTCCGACCTATCCGCATGTCTCCCGCGCGTCCACGCCTCAACCTTCCTCAGCAAGCTCCAGCAACAGATCGCCCCGCTCGTAAAAGCACACTACTATCTCTCCCGCTCGACCTCCCTCCCTCTCACCTTCCTCCGCATCTTCGTCACCAACTCCCCCTACCAACATCCGCGCCAGGCCGCCGAACTCCTCACCGACTCATCGCGTGTCATCTACATCGCTTTCCCAGATAGCTGTCCCTACATATACACCTCCATTGCCTCCACCCCGGGCTCCTCAAAATCCAGCAGCGCATCCGCAACCCCCCACGCCATCGCAACCGACCCCCGCAGCCTGCAACGTCTCGTCCGCGACGCCCTCCCCAAGGCCCTCTCTCTCCCCCACCAGCGCTACACCCTCAAACCCACCTCCCTAACAGCAAAGAGTCTCCAAGCGCTCCTCTCCCTCCGCGGCCCCGGCCGCGCCAACCAATCCACCGGCGCATTCAGCATCTTCGCCGACGCCGCCCTCGAAGGAAGTCCCCTGGACCCTCGACCATCCAGCACCGTCACTCCAGAAGAACACATGAACCATCCATCGCACCACAAGGAGAACCAACACCCAGACGACGCAGACACTTCCACCTCTAAACCACCCAAACGACCCAACACCGACCACGAAGACCCCCGCGTCTTCAAAAAACGAACCCTAACCGTACAATCCCGCTTCGGTACCTCCGCATCTCTATCCTCCGCTCCTCTCGACCGTCTCGATATCCGTCTCCTCGATCCCCCAACCTCCACATCCACAACATCATCATCAACAACACCGACCCTCTCCCTCACCTTCACCGGCACAGACGTCATCAGCGGATTCCGCAAACTAGCCGAAACCGGCATCATCAATGCAGAAAAGATGCCTTCGTGGATGACGGGCGAAGAAGCAGTGAGTGTAGCTGCTGTTCGTCGGGGTCGGCGGGTCGTGAAGGATAGTGGATGATTATGATGGCATACACGCATTTATTCATCATTCATTCGTCCTTTCATCCTCGGTAGTGGCTGTCTGGGTGTCACTCGCCCAGATACAGACACTTAGCTAGTGGTCTGGAGGGGCTGAATACCTACCTCTTATTCCCATGTAGTGGGAGTGTGTGCCCGGGGTTCAACTTATGGACATATTCGTCCACATGTCTGTGTGGCCAATACGGACTCCTGACTTAACGGTGTGGTTGGCTCGAGCATGGTATATAGTATCGTAGATTTTGGACACTCATCTGTTAAGATGGACTAGTTGTTTGCCGGCAATGGCTTGGCCGTTGTCTATCTAGCAAGAATTATTACTCAGGGTCGCTGGAAAGACCCTAGACAATGGGGAGAGCTCCAGATCTATCTGCACATGAAGCGGAATCTATGTTTGATGCAATTGGCATCTCATTGTTGGATTGAGCTGAATGTGCTACCATATTACCCATTTGGAAAGAATAATACTAATGTATTGATATGATCGAAGAGCATGCCCTGGGTATCAATCTTAGACTTGCGACGCTTATAACAACCCGAAAAACAATCAACCGTGCCAGACGGACAAACTTCATCATCAATATCGTCTTCCGTAGCCCCACGCACCTCTACCACGTCGCGAACCATAAGGATACGATTGCTGGCGCACCCAGTAAGGATGATATGTTGAACAATCTATGCCCAAACCCGTCAGTATCAGCCTACACGAAGGCAGCAAACAAATAAAAGTGAGAATCACAGGGTTGGTCTCATACCACGAATGCCAGACAGGCCAATCTGGTCAGCCACATTGACGTAGCCATCGGAATCTACACTGGCCCCTTTGACCAGTTCGTCAAGGTTCAAGTTAGCAGCATCTGCTTGCCAAGGAGAACGGCTACGTGAAAGTGTCAGCTATGCCTTTTACTCTTACCCTCGATGTGGAACATACCAATAGACGCATCTCACTCCTTGAGCTTGCTGAGTTGCGGCCCATTTCTGGAAACAAGTCTTGTGTATATTGTTTCCGCATGCTGCTCGGCACCAGACTATCTCTTCCTTGTCGGGTTCAAACTCCATGAAGCAGATCGGGCAGTCCCCTTCAACAGGCTTCCTGTTCCCATCTTTGTTCTCTTCAGCGTTGGACTGCTCGCGGCTGATGGGAGAGCCGTTGTACATCTCTCGAAGTTCCTATGGCATAACCCTTAGCAATGCACCCCCATTTGTTCACCACCCTGCAAACTTACCGACGACAAGAATGCTAACTGATACTGAAGATGCTGGGGCGCTCTAAGGGCCTTGACTAGAACTTCACAGGACAAACTAATCAGCGACTCGGACATTGCAGGAACATCGAGCAGAGAGACGAGTGTGCGGGGTAGTCTGTCAAAGCAAGGGACTCGACGTACCATAACAGATATGTTTGCATTGATTCCCTTTTCGAGCATCCGGACAGCTGCAGGTTGGCACCTTCCCTATCGTTGTCTTGTAGATGTTGCCAGTGGTGCCGACGATGTCGAAAGAGATCTCGGGCGCACCGTCGACTTCTGTGACAGCATGTCCGACAACAAACATCCTGTAGAAGGATACACATTAGCTTTCTAGACTATCCGAAGATGGGTACCGATCATACCGCTGGGATAGCGCACGCGCCGCTCTATCAAGGTATGAACTGGGAGGGTGGCTGCGGAATCTTCTTAGTCGGCGTTCAGGAGCTGGTTCATCATATGATGCTGGTGCTCGAGCTCTTTTTTTAGGCGGGCTAGGAGTTTCGCCAGTCAGATCGACCACCTCGACAGAATCTTTGGTAGGAACATTTGGAGCTGATCGACGCGACTTCTTTGATGATGTGCTTGGTGTGACATTCTGATCATTCGCTTTTCGCTTTCTGGACGACGTGGGGGTGCTTGCCACAGCTCTTGAGCGTGTAGCCCGAGCGTCTGTCGGTGTGGAGGCGCTCGCATGCTGCTGACGAGAGGGGGTCGTACGTGTCACTCCCATCCTAAACCCAGAAGCTATTCTAGGCCAGATGCTTGACAGAGTGAGAAAGGAGACGTAGCAAGACAAAGAACAGTCGCGGTGGCGGCTTCCGTAGTATGGAGTAAACGACCCCTAATCGATAAGCAATCAGATCAGATCATGACATAATCAGGCTAGTCCCAAAAGGAAATGACAGATCTGGGAGAAGCCGTGATCTATGACCTGCCTAGCATCAATATCTACTGAATATGCCCCATTGACGCTCCTAGGGATGTTTCGGATGTCTCCATTTGCCTGATGGGAGTAAGAAATTGGAGCTATCAACTCAAGTCTCACCAGGGATGATCCAATAGTTCGTGAATACCGATGCGGAGGTTTGCTCGGTTTGCCCCATTTGGCTTGTTTGCCTGAAGCTAGTGCGGCGCTGATAACGACGGAATGACGCCGCGTCTGGCTCTGGTTCAACTCGCAATCACATCCCTCCATGGCACGCCCTCGCGCTCACTCGGGCGCTGATGCCCCTAAAGAGCCACATGCAGTCTCTCTCAAAGGTACGCTTTGCCGGACACCCTTATACTGCGGTACCTTGGCTGATCTTGTCCAGTATTGCGGTAAGCACCGAACATCATCCGACGGCTCCGCTCGTTCCTGACCGTGCAAGGCTATCGCGACCTTCCTTATCCTATCAGTATCCCCTCCCGGCGGCAGACACGAAGATCTCAAGCAAAGCATCACTCAGCTATCCCGCCGATAATGTTGACGACCAGTTCATCCTCACTCCCAATGTACGAAGACCGTCCAGGATGAAGTTGTGATCTCACTGACTGTCCGACAAGTTAACCCTACCGCCGGCTTTTGGGTCTGCATATGTGGGCGAGACATTTGCATGCACCCTCAGCGCGAACAATGAATTACCGGATGAGGAGACGTCGCGCGTCGTCACATCGGTTCGTATAGTTGCAGAGATGCAAACACCATCGCAGGTAGCGGCGTTAGACCTAGAACCGGCCGAAGACACGGCTTCGAAGGACGGGGTCCAGAAGGGCCATTCACTACAGAAAATAGTACGGTTTGATCTCAAGGAGGAAGGGAATCACATCCTGGCGGTTAGCGTCAGCTACACGGAGACATTGATTGGGTCGGACGCGCAAGCAGCCAGCGGGCGCGTGAGAACTTTCCGCAAGCTCTATCAGTTCGTGGCACAGCCCTGTTTGAGTGTGCGAACCAAGTCTTCAGAGCTGGCGCCCCTGGAAGTCGAGAACAAGACACTCGGACCATATGGCAAGACCCGGCTGCTCCGGTTTGCTCTGGAAGCACAACTAGAGAATGTAGGCGATGGTCCTGTTGTGGTCAAGGTTCGTTCGAACACAAATCATAGCCAAAGTGCAGACACCTCCTGGGCGACATGCTAATCTTGACAGCAAACGAGGCTCAATCCGAAACCGCCATTCAAGGCCGTATCTCTCAATTGGGATCTACAAGGACCGGATCAAGCGGATCCGCGGCCACCGACTCTACATCCGCGGGATGTCTTGCAGGTCGCATTCCTTGTCGAGCAAGAAGAAGGCCAACAGGAAGGGCTGGAGACCCTGCAGAAGGACATGAAACGCGACGGACGCGCAGTGCTGGGCCAGCTGTCGATCGAGTGGAGAGGCGCGATGGGCGACAAAGGATTCCTAACGACGGGTAATTTGATGACGCGAAGACGGGCATGAGACAGACCAATCGGACGTAATATTTCCTGCTTACTGTCTCTCTGCTGCGTACCTGAATTGCAGCGGGCTTTTTCCTTGGCCTTTGGCCCCCTTGTGTAACAACACACACACATTCCAGACACTGCAGCCAGCGCAGATCCCGAAGAACCCCCAACTCTCTCTGTCTGTCTGTGTGTGTGGCAGTCTGAAGACTCACAAGCTCACCGGTGATTTTCCTCAACCAATCACCGACTCCACGGAGGCATGCATCAGCGCTGAAGATGAATGGATGAGACGGGAGCCAAGCGGATGTTGCACGGATGCGAACCTTCTCAGGGCAGCCAATCCCAATCCCCTAGCTTACGACACTTTGCGTGGTGGTTACACACGTTTAAACGGGGACAAAGAAAGCGACGAGACTAGCTACCAACGGCACATCATATGTTCGGGGGCTTATCTAGTACTAGTATAGGTAGGGCGTACAGAAGAAACAAAACCAAAAGAAGGTACCTTCCGACGGCGCCGCCCCCGTTAACGCCGACGGAAGCTTGGCCGTAACTCAGCCCATTCCATTTCTTTTCTATCTATAGATAGGTTCGTTCCTAACGAGGAAGGAGTCGTTGGATTATATCCCTTTACTTATTAATGGATGGATGAGCCACCAACAACCAGCCATGTGCTATTTGTGCAACACAGTCAGCACCGTAGTTGATCGTCAATCAGCCAACCCATCCAACCTCCTGTAACTCATCAAAAACTAGCTAAAACTACAGTAGGAAGAACTTGATCCTGAACCTAAAGATAACATGATATTCTCCCCGGGGCAGGGGGGCCGAGACCTACGTACCCATCCATCCATCCAACCGTCCCCACGGACCACCGGTCGGGAGGGAGGAAAAAGGGAAAGTCTACTCAGGTCTAGATAGGCCTAGGTGAACCTAAATTTACCTCAACTTGAAAACTATCAACCGTTGTGTCCACTCACTGCCCTGAAAATAAATAGAATCATAGAATAAAATAGAACCAGGCTGTTACTCGCAGGTTCACGGTTGGTTTGTTCGGCATTTGGGATGTTCTAGCCCGCAGACAAGAATAATGCTAGACTGGACTGACTAGTACGGAGTTGGTTTGGGTTTTTTTCCCTTGGCCTTGCATGGATGGGATGCCGAATTGAACGAAGGGAAGAAATAAAGAAAGAAATAAAGATTGAGAAATTACTTAGTTATTGACAATGGCATTCATTCGTTCGTTCATTAAACAGGGTTAGGTTATATTTAGTTCTAAGATGTCTTATATTGTTGACTCACTGGAGTGTTTTCCTCATCTCCTGACAGTTCGTATCTGTATCTAGGACATGTCTCGAAACTCAGAGACATCATTGCTATAATAAGGGATATATCCGGATACTTTATCCACTACCAATTATACAACATGATAGTCAGTATCATGAGTGGGTGAAGAGCAGATCTCGCTCACAGGTCCAGAACATGCGCCTATACCTGCTGTATACTACTTATACTATACGGTGTGCTTTGCTGCAGGTGCTGTGGGCGCGCGGGCGCTGTTCCCGTCCCAGCCAACTCAACTCAACTCACCACCGACTGGAAAACCCCCCCCCTTTCTTCAACTTTTTTTTTTCAGTTATCTATCAATTAATTATCTACTCTATCTGCAGAATAGCTTATTAGATAAAACACTGTTACTTTATCCCTTCCAATCTCACTATGTAAAAAGTATTATGTAACTCCAAGTTCGAAACAGTCTAGTCACCGCCCCTCCGGCCCTGTCAGAGGGCACGTCAGTCGAATGTCCACAGCGGGACGGTCCTAGATAGTAAGTATTATTGATAATAAATTAAGGTGGTTTTTAGTATGTAAGTAGTATTTTATCTAGATTTCTATCTATGGGTCCGTAGAAGAGGGTAGAATAGTCCAGGGAAAAGTTTAATAACTAGAAATGCGGGAAAGAGAAATTTTATGCAGTCGTCAATACTCTCTCTCTGTATTATAGTAGTGTAGGTAGTCTCCAGTATGTAAGTAGTAGATCGATCGGAATATCACCGCCTTTCTTTCTTTCTTTTGTGTCTACAAGGCAGGCGGCGTAGGGTTGAAGAAGAAAATGAATTAGAATAGGAAGAAAACCCTGAAGCAACCAACCAACTAACTACTGTAAAATGCTTGGCTGGTTTGGGCTTGGTTTGTTTGGTCTGCTGCATCAATCATGCGGGTAAGCAAGTCCGGGGAAGTAGGGCTATGCAAGGAACCATTATTGGAACTTTCTCTTTGGTTTCTTTTTCTTTCTTTCTTCTCTTTCCTACTTTCCTTCTGAAGTGAAGATGGGCTGGGAAGGCTGAGATTGCTGCCCATATGTGGCTTAAGATGTATGCATGTATGATGAAAACCTACACATCGATTGCTGCAGGGGTTCGTCTACTTACTGTACTAGCCACCTGTTTTATGATTTTCTTTTTGCCTTTGGTGGTGGTGGTGGTGGGTACATACTTTAGTGTTTGGTGGCGGCCTGAGAGGAATGAGTGAGTGGTGGCTTGTTTTCCTTATGTAGATAGTAGTATACAGCACTTGTTTAGATAATATGCATGAGATGTTCTTCTTACGCTGAGCCCTATAAGCCCGGAGTTAAGGGGCACTGGTTGGATTAAGTTTAAAATGGTGAAACTGGTTCATCAATCGCCGGTGTCTTATCTATTCTGTGACGGGGTGATGTTACTCCATTAGGTATGGTGCGTGAGTTTGAGAACGAATCCATGTGTCGACAATATAAGGATAGTGCTCATCGTAATAGGTTTTGATTAGAATTCATCATTTCTTGCTCAAATTTAATACCTGGTCTCGTCTCGGAGTGTCGACCGGCGAAATAGATTTTGGCACCGGATTATCGTCATTGCTTCGGCTCCACATGGATCATCAACGCAACCCCGGGCCATTTCTACTTGGAGTTCTCGGGTGATCGGGTGTAAAAATCCAAAGGATCGACCTCCTTTTTTAATTTTTTTTTTTTTTTTTTTTGGTCAGAGGTAAATACGAGAAAATCTGCATCCAGAATCGTGCTGAAATTATTGTGCCCACAAGATCAGTGAATTATCTTGTTAACAGAAACTGGGTTTGGTATGCACATCGGTCCTTTGCAATTTATTCCCACAATGCGGAAGTGAGAACCTCGGCTGTCTTGGTCCAGAGATTGTCGCAGCTTTTTCCCCCTTTCAGGAACCGCCCTCCAGTTTCAGCTCCAACATTTCTGGATCCATGGGATTCCAGGCTGCGATGCTGGTCCTCCAATCATCGTCTGTCATGGCGATCTCCGAACTCTGGTTGGCACTTACCTACCTATTCAGGAACTCCGATGTTGCTACCTTTAGTTTCCGTAGTACTTCCTTCGCTCCCCCAGGCACAGCTGGCAGGAGGCTGGCTGTGTGCGTGTGCGTATGGGTTTAGCCTTCGATTCACTGCATGGTCGAGCTTGTCGGTCGGATACACACGATGGGAGAAGCGATAACCTACTGTGTGTCCACTGAATGTATAATAATAATAATAATAATCATAATAGTGGCCTCGAAATCCCGCATTTTCTTCGGAGCCGCTCCACATGGTCTCTCTCCTCTCAGCCCCAAAACTTTCAACCCTCGGCGGCCGTAACGATAAGAGAAGACGTAATGGTCTGTGTTTTCCATGGTTATCCCGAACGGTAGTTCTCTTGCAGAGATCCAACGAGGGCCATTCAGGAGCAAAGAGTCGCCGGTGAGCCAAGCCATTTGTGCGCGACGGGCTCCACTGAGGGCCCAGCGATTGATATGCTGCCGTACCTGTCCCTCACAGATGCGATGCGATGCAAGTCCCTCTGTGCTCCGGATGCCTAGCTGTACTCAGTGAGTTATGTACATACCATTGAGGAGTTATACCGAGTACCACAGTAGTCCTTGGTAGGAGGAGGCAGAGGCAGCTACACCCAAGCATTGGTCCGTCCTATCAGCTACCTTGCTTTTCTTTTCCTGCCCTGACCAGGCAGGCAAGCGGATCCAGAGATCCTCGTAACACAGCTGATGCCGGGAGTTGCTGCTGCATGGCTGTGGATGGCGGTTGGCGGGACGCACCCAACCATGCACACTTGCAGTAGTTCATGGTTGCGCCCGGGACTTGGGGGGTGGAAAGGTTGTTGGTACCTGGGGACTGCGTCTGCCTACTAGATAGTAGGTGAGCGGCATTAGTACTCTCGTAGTAGCAGGAGGATGTTCCACCGATTTGTTGTATTCCGGTTCCAATCTGGGCAGAGCTGCACGTTTATTTGTTATTTTCTTTTCTCTGGCTGCACATTGCTTTTGCCCTGCCTGTTTCTATCGCCTCTCCCTTTTCCGTCCAATTTCTTTGTTTGACATGAACCACATGTAGTTGATATTCCAACCATTTGGTGGGCTTTCTTTTCCTAGCTTTTTTTCTTCCTTTTAAAAAAAAAAAAAAGCTAGATGTGGAATATCCGATCAACTCTTGGAGCATACTTCACTAGGTAAAAAGGAGGAAATTCAAGGAAGTGACTGAAGTGACTGATCTGGTTGTAGTGCGTGTGCGCAGGAGAGCGGAGGGAACGGAGTGGACAGACAGTGTAGTAGTAGTAATAGTAGCAGTCGGACAGTCTAGCAGATCACCGTGAAGGGGAAGAGGAGGGAGGGAGGAGGGGGGAAACACACGGGGGGTGCCGGGGCTGGATTGGACTTTTGGCAGCCGTTTCGCTTTCCCCCCCTTCCCAATGTCTACGCAACCATCCGTCTGCGTGGTGAGTCTAGTTCAAAAATAAAAAATATATATTATAAAATATTAAGGCAGAAGAAATTCACGACCATTGAAGTCAAGCAAGAATTAAGGAAAAAAAATGATTATCAGAAGTAAAAAGAAATAAAGAAGGTTAGGAGTCTTTTTAAAAAAAAAATTAAGGAACCATAACTTAACTTTCTTCCCATTCCTACACAAAGAGACACCTGTCAAAGCATTCCTCCTTTTCCAGTTTGTCTCTCTTTTCCCTTTCCCTCTTGGCCCCCTCACCTGTCTCTCTCTCTCTTCCTCGCTCTCGCTCTTCTCCCTCCTCCGCTAACCGACACTCCTTTTTTTCTTGTCAATGCGTAGATCAACCTTTCGGATCGTCTCCTCTCTTCAGCATCTGCCTTCCTGCAATTCGTCCTTCTATTCCCCTCTTTGCATCTGCACCGACGCTTGAGAACCCCAGCCATCCTGCCGTTCGCGTTCGCGACAGCGTCGCATTTCTAGACTTATGCGTTCTAGTTGCTAATACTACTGTCTTCACCACCCGCCCGTGTTCTGCAACCCCCCTCCACCCCCCTAATTACTGAAAATTCTCCCCCTCCCTACTGTTGATGTTCCTGGGAACTTCAGAACATCTAGGAATTGCATTTACTCTATGCTGTGACGAACTCGACGAATTGTGACGATTGATGAGTACAACCCTGCGATCTCTCAGCGACGATTCGACGAGATGCCTTTCTCCTCCTCCTCCTCTTCCTCCTCTTCCCCGCCCGAAGCGTCCACCACCCCGCTCGCCGACTACTTCTGGATCGCTGGTGTGGATGGAACAGAGGTCTTGGAAACCTATCGCAGATTAGGGGATGAATACCGTGCCAACAATGCCACTTCTCCGGGCCCCGCCGTTACAGATACCATCGAGGAAGATGCCGATGCCGAGGAGGATTCTCATCTGGACAGTCTCTCCCGTCCCATTTCCATGGCCGGGAACCGTACCTCCTTCCAGCGCTTCTCCATGCGCTCGGTCGATCCCGAACCCAACGAGAATGGCACCCACAGCAACCGCAGTAGTATGACAATTAAGGGTGCCCCTTCTCCTCGGGGCTCCTCCTTCCTTGAAGACTTCGACTTTGACAAAGCGCTGTTCAAGTTCGCGTCGGAGAGGGAGTCATTTCTGTCGGATCTCAATGTCAGCGCGGGCGCAATCACCCCCTCGACTCGTCCCAGGTCCAGATTACGCACCCAGAAGATCGTCTCCGAGGAGACCCCACAGCCTGCGGGCCTGCTCCGGTCTAGTATAGGTAGTGTGCGGCGGCACATGGCATTCCGCGATATGAACAGTATGAAGCGGCAACCCTCGATTGCTCGTCAAGGTGAGTAGAGATCCTGGTGGGGTGAATGAAGGGGGGAGGCCAACATAAGGGGATTCAGCGTATAGATGGCTAATGGCGGGCATTCACAGCATCTATCCGTACCTCGCGACGTCTGAGTAATTACAACTCCGTGATACCTGTTCCGCAACCGCTCGAAATCTCTCCCACTATGCACCCCCTAAAGCGGAGGTTCGAGCCCGTCCTTCTCGACCGGTATCCGACCAAAGGCATGTCCGACGAACTGAAGCTGCGAGGAAACTTCCCGGATTATGTGCCCATGTTTGCTTTTCCGAACGATATCAACATTGTTTCGTCGGATCAAAGGCCGCGATCCACCTGGCACGGCTTCGTCATGACCACTGATAACGGCTCACGCCTGCACGCCATCTGTCTCATCATCTGGATCCCACTCAACCAGCGAGCGGCCGAAGAACTGGAGAAGCGTTGCGAGGAGTGGCGGAAGGACAACATGACCGATGAAGAGAGGGAGCTGGCGGCGAGTCTTGGTGAGAGGCTGGCAAGTGAGCGAGCTAAACTCTCTAGGCTTCTCGCTCAGCTACCCACGGTGCCTTCAGGGTCAGAGTCACGAGAGCAACTGGAAGATGAGATCAGTGCGGTGGAAGAGAAGATCACTTTAATGACTGACCTCTTGCGTCCAGTCCGTCACGGTGCAGCATCGAAGATCGAGGGTTTGACCGATGGGGATACTGGATTTTGGATCCCCCGTGCCTACGGTATCCTAGGCCGAGAGGAAAACATGACCAGCTTCTGGAAGGAATGGCTGAAGGCTGTCGTTGTTCCAATGACGGACGGCAGCCTCCAGCGGATCCCCCCAAGCTCTCCACGCATGGGCATCTGGCAACCCCTCGAGCGATATGTGATGAACTTGTGTACAGAGGCGTTTAGTCCCAACTCGTCCAAGACTCAAGTGGAGCTTGCAGTGCGCGAGTTGCGTCTTTTTGCTCGCAAGGAGGCTGCCAATGAGCTTCCGGGCTCTCGGAACACCGACCTCTATGCGCTATTCCGGGCCCTGTCGTTACAGAACATCATGATCTTGTTCGAGTACGCTCTTACGGAGTCGCGTATTATTCTCTTGTCATCCCACACATCGATGCTGTACCTGGCGACCAAGGCCATCGTTGACCTGTTGTTCCCGCTGCAGTGGGCCGGTGTTCTTATCCCTATCCTGCCCGCACGACTCATCCAGGCTCTGGAAGCCCCTTGTCCCTACATTGTAGGTATTGAGCGTCGGTACGAGAAGGTCGAGCTGCCATCAGATGACTTTGTGTTGGTCGATTTGGATGCCGACCTTATCGAAAGCACTGTTCAACCAACGCCGCTCCCCCGTCATCAGCGCAGAAAGCTGCTTTCTTTACTCCAGCTGGCGGCTCCTCATCACAGTCGGTGTGGGGTACCCACTGGGCCACCGGCATATGCTGTGGAAACATACCCCTTCGATGCATTCATGTCGGAGAACTCCTCTATTTTCTCGTCCAAGGCCCAATCGACCCAGTTGGCGAAATACGTCAGTCTTAACTCGAGCGCTTTCGGAGCCACTTCTGTAACCCCGAATACCCAGCCCCCACTCATCTTCAACGCCTATCTGCATGCTCGCTATGAGCAGGCTGCTTCAAGGGGGTATTCGTCCAAGGGCCTAGACCGGCCGGGAACTGGCTCGACGCATAAGACCGGCTCCCCGCCCTCTCCCAGGGACATCTCACCCACGTCCGGCCATTTCCCGTCGGTCTCCGGCTCCCGTGCTGATTCCGGTACGACGTTGCAGGCATCGCTGCGCGAGAAACGTTCCGGCCACTTTGATGCAGCATCTCGGCGTAGCTCGTCATTCGGGATGGACATGCGTACTGGTGTTCCACGCCGGCCCAGTGCTCCCTTCCTCGGCCACGCGCCCAATCTATCCGTTACTACATTGAACACCGACTATAACCCGGGTTCCACATATGCACCTTCGGTGTATGCACAGTCCACAGTCGCTGCGTCGACGATAGTCCCCCAGGCTTCCGCGCAGCCCATTCACAACGCAGAAGGTACCTGCTGGGTGGAGGGGCATTGCTTGCAAGTACAGCCGTGGGATGACAAAGCCACCTGTGCAATCTGTGATGACCAGGCGGAAGAAAACATGTACAAGTGTACCGCCTGTAAGACAGTGGTGCACAACCGATGCGCCCTCCAGATATGCATTGTGTGTCCGGCCGCCTTCCATCCTGAGCAAGTTCGCGCTGCGTTTGTTCGATGCTTTGCCAGCTTGTTTTACACATACAAGAAGTTTCTTCAGCCCGCCACGGGTGACAAGAAGAAAGCCGGGTTGACATATAACTTCAACATGGAAGCCTTCATGAAGAGCCTGCCCGGGGAGCATGCGGAATATATTGCTGTCCTGCAACAAACCCAAGGTAAGTCACGGCCGCTAACGACCTGATGGTTGCAAATCGCTGACGTTCACTAGGCTTTAACGAGTTTATCAGCGAACGGGAGAGAGCGAATCCCAAGTCTCGAGACCCTCGGATGGCCCTCTTTGATGAGATCATCCTGTCTAAGCGCAATCGGGGCCGGTCCTCTATTTTCTCCGGTCGTAGTATGACGGACTTCCTTTCTGACACGTCCAACCACCTCTGGAGAACCGCGAGCGCCACATCCTTTGGAGGGGGTAGTAGAAGCCAGAACAGCATGTCCGGGGACTACAGCCGGCTAGTCTCACGAGGTTTGTGGCCCGGTATTTCCCTCTTTGTGTCTCGAGCTAACCAAGGCATCAAATGACAGCACCGGCGAAGCTTGATAATAGTCTGATGAAGGAACCCCGCATGATCCATGGGGCGCCTCGGGTTTCGAAGACGGCAAATACTGCACGCAGAAAGCCGCTTCCCAAGCTCATGAACGGGCTTGCCATATCACCCCCATAAAGGAGGGGAGATCACATTGGTGGAGTGCACATTCCGAAAGATCACTATTGGATATGGCACGGCCCCGTGTGACACCAAA